ACCCCATGATTGTAATTGACCGATACCGTTTATGAAACCACGCGCTTGTTAAACTGCAAATAAATAAACAAAAGTTTATGTTCCAATTTGACCCTGACTGGACTCATTATTGTACCAGGTAGGGCCTGGGTGGTGGCAGCGAGAAATCAAGTGGTGGCACAGGGATCAATAGACGGTGAAACATCCAGGGACCCTGTATGATCGCCACACCATGGTCCTCCAACTGCAGTTAGATTCCAGCAACCAGTAGCCCCAGAAGCCAGCAGGGGTAACAGTCAGGAACGGTGGAAGTGGTAGTCCAGCAACTTCTTATACCATCCAATTTTTTCCAATTCAAAACTGGGACGCCCCTCTTCTGGTTCGCAGTCCTGGGTGAGTCACATGATCTGCGCCTAACCCTCACCCTGAAAAAGTGCTTTTTCCAGGGCAAGAGTGCATGACAGAGAGGCATTCAAAATGGCAGCCAGGATCTTGCATGAAGAAACGAGATGTCCCTTTTTTTCCCAGGGCACTTGGAAAGTATAACATCAGGAGGGCCACAAGTTTCCCCACTCTTTATGCACGTGATTGCAGGGGGAACTCTGTTCTGTTAACTCCAGGGTAGCCCAAGTGTAGTTACTGAACTACAACTCCCACTGCCTCCCTGGCCGCTGGAAATGCTAGCTGAGGATGATGGGAACTAGAGTCCAACAGTAACTGAGGGCGCTCTATGTTGGCTGCCCCTGAGTCAACTTACCTTGCGATCATCTTTCCATGAGGGCTGATTTCACCAGTGCCCCGATGAGTTGCCTTTGAGATATAACAGAGAGCAGACTGTCTAGCCAGACACAAACAAATGCCACAGAACACCTTAAGGAGAATCTACGGGTGGCGCTGTGGTCTAAACCATAGAGCCTAGGACTTGTTGATCAGAAGGTCGGTGGTTCGAATCCCTGCTACAGGGTGAGCTCCCGTTGCTCGGTCCCAGCTCCTGCCCACCTAGCAGTTCGAAAGCACATCAAAGTGCAAGTAGATAAATAGGTACCGCTCCGGCAGGAAGGTAAACGGCGTTTCCGTGCGCTGCTCTGGTTCACCAGAAGCAGCTTAGTCATGCTGGCCACATGACCCGGAAGCTGTACGCCGGCTCCCTTGGCCAATAAAGCGAGATGAGCGCCGCAACCCCAGAGTCTGTCACGACTGGACCTAATGGTCAGGGGTCCCTTTACCTTTACTAGTCCTATCGCTTGGTGTTTCTGCAAGCGCGGAGTCCGCCCCTGAATCAAACATTAGCAAATTAACACATACGGAATAATGAATTAATGGGTTAATAATTCATCAAATCAAACGGCAAGGCGGGAGCTGTTGAATAATGCCACCCTAAATCACGATAATCTGCATAATGGGAACCTGAGGAAGACAATGAATATTCACGGAAAACGGGGATTTCGTTGAAATCCTTCGGGTTGGGGAGGGGCAGCAGGATGGGGTGGCCACGATCCAGCAAATTGCACTCAAGCCACCGTTTGCTGCTGCCAAAGTCTATGGGTTCGCCATAACCAAAACCGCAATCTGATCCTGTGGTTTGAAAATGGTGCCTTTGCTGGTAGCAGATTCTAATCAGGCCTTGGAAGTAGGTTTTAGAAACAAAGTGTCCCCAGGCCCCCCGCCCTTGTTCTCTTTCCCTTCCATTGCAAAGTATTGATATTATACTTTCCGCCCTACTCAGTTCTTGTCCTGTTATAGGTCCCCCACCATAGCTGTCAACTTACAGATTTGAAAATAAGGGACCAGCAGCCTCGAAAATAAGGGATCAGCAGCCAAAATAAGGGATTTTCTGGGCACAGGTATGTTCAGCTTCTGAGCCCCTCCGAGCCAAAGGCAGAAAGCCCAGCCTGCAGCCAAACGAAGCCTCATCTGTAAGGGACAGCAGCGGGACATGGCGCTGGGAAAAGGGACTGTCCCGCCAAATAAGGGACGCTTGACAGCTATGTCCCCCACAGCCTGGGCTTGAGGGACCCTTTGTCTGACCCAGCAGGGCTCCCACCCACGTTCTTCTACTACAGACCACTTAATTGTTGGCACAACTTCCCATCCCATCTTTCCTATATATATATCTCTGAAACAAAACCCAGACTCTGCATTTTAGGCTCCGTCTTGGTTTTGCTGGCCGTGTCCACTCCCAAGTTGAACGTGTTACGATCGTATCTTTTTCTTGGGGTTGCCAAAGGTCCAATGACTCTCCCTTCTCCATCCATTTTATAGCCTTCTTTCTTGTTTCATTATCCATCTCCCTCCCTCTCTCTCTCTCTCTCCTTGGACCTTTTCCCAGTCCATTCACTCAATCTTCCTTCTATTTAATTTGGTGCTATTTATAGAGCTGGCTGATACTTGTGCACGCAGACCATTTTTCAAGCTGAATAGTGCAATTTTCTTAGAAATAATGTTTTTTGGGGGTGGTTGCCATGTTCTAATGCAAAATGTGAATTAAAAATCCTTCTGGGAGTGACTTCTTCTCTTTTCTATATTAGTCATTTCTTAAAAATCCTGTGACATCAGAGGAATAACATTTTACAACCAGAAATTATTATTTTCATTCCATCTTCTTCAGAAATATTCTCTATCATCTATCTATCTATCTATCTATCTATCTATCTATCTATCTATCTATCTATCTATCTATCTATCTATCTATCTATCATCTATCTATCTATCTATCTATCATCTATCTATCATCTCTCTCTCTCTCTCTCTCTCTCTCTCTCTCTCTCTCTCTATCTATCTATCATCTATCTATCATGCTAGGCTATGCTATGCTTTCCAGTTATCTACGAACAGAGTCCTGTTCAGACCAAGGTCTATGTAGTCTAGGCATAGGCAACCTTCAGCCCTCCAGATGTTTTGGACTACAATTCCCATCATCCCTGACCACTGGTCCTGTTAGCTAGGGATCATGGGAGTTGTAGTCCAAAACATCTGGAGGGCCAAAGATTGCCTATGCCTGATGTAGTTCAACATTTCCACCCCCTCAACTCACAGTGGTCAGCCTGTCCCAATGGAAAATTCACAAAAAAGGAGCACAATGACCATCTCCCACACATAATCCCCAGCAGCTGGTCTAATTTATAGCCATTTGGACGAGAAGCTGTTGGCTAGTAGCTACTGGGCAATTTTACAGGGTCTTTTCAAATATACATGCCCATCTGAAACCCAAAAGAACACTCAGCTTGATTGTTTGTTTCCCTATCCAGCCTGGTCAGTACTTGATTCTGCTGTGACTGAATTTTTCCACATGCAAAAAGACGCTGGAGGCTACAATGTAGAGCCGACCCCACAGTGATCCATTCAATGGGTTCCCCTAACAAAGATGAAAAACGTGTGCTTTAAAAAACTGAAATTATGCACATAGGCGATCAAACTTTTGAGAGCACAATCTCCATTATTATACTGCATTACCATGGCCCATATCATAGATCTGTAAGAATTGGAAGGGACCCAAGGGTCATACAATGGCTGATGCTTCACTATCGCTGCTATTGCTGTGATTCTTGAAGTTGCTGTTTTAATAGTGTGCTGACCATTGCTTGCATTTTAAACTCTGTTTTTTTTATCCAGTTGTAAGTCACCTATTTAGGCAACCAAAAATCAATTCAATAACAATAATAATTTTGCTTTTGCTAGTCATAGGGAGAGGCAACACCCCCGGCCACTGGAAATCTGATTTATGATACAATCCTATATGCGTCTTCTTAAAAGTACAGTGGCACCTTGGTTCTCAAACTTCATCCATTCCAGAAGTCTGTTCCAAAACCAAATCATTCCAAAACCAAGGTGAACTTTCCCATAGAAAGTAATGCAAATCAGATTAAGCCATTCCAGACTTTAAAAAACAACCCCTAAAACAGCAATTTAACATGAATTTCACTATCTAGCGAGACCATTACCCATACATAAAACAAAAGCAATAATCAATGTACTGTACTATAAAATAAATTAGACAGTATTGTAGAGGATAAAAATTAAAATTACATTTTTTCCTTACCTGCACTGATGATAGTTATTGTTTGGATAGGGGACTTTTATCCATTTCCGCATTCACACAATCAAACAACCAGTAGCTGAACTGGGTTCCACACAGTCACAAAAACAAATTAACCAAAGAAGCCTCAAAAACAAAAATGCAAAATAAATAGCAAAAACAAAAGCCCAAACTTAATCCATTCCGGAAGTCTGTTTGACTTCCAAAATGTTCAAAAACTAAAGCATAGCTTCTGATTGCTGAAGGCGCCCCTGAAACAATAGCTGACAGCCGCATTGGATGTTTGGCTTCCGAAAAATGTTTGAGAACCGGAACACTTACTTCCGGGTTTTCAGCGTTTGAGAACCAAGGTACCATTGAAAGCCCCTTTGAGCTCACTCCTTTGTGAGTGCAGAATTGCAGCCTCATCCAGCCTCTCTTCTGACTCCTTTCAAGTCCACTTTCACCCTCACAAGATCTGGAAACTTATCTGCTTCTTAATTGCAAACGAAGCTGAGATTCCGAAGTAGCCCTGTTTCGCTCCCAGTTTGACACACTGCAGTTTTCTGTCTGCTCCCTCGAGACCGCAGCATGTGCACAGCTCCGCTTTCAGAAATATCTAGCGAAAGGCTACATTTCTGTGTCATACCTACTACGTCGCAAGCAGGCAGGTTTGCGGTGGAGCTAGGGAACACCGGTACTGCCCTTAGGCCAAAACATACTGGAAGCATGTTAGCCCAAAGAAATATACAGATTTCTCCAGTGACATTCCTTCGCCTGGCTGGCTTGCCCTGGAAACGAGAGCCATGCTGGTCCCCTTTGGAGGTAACCCTCAAACTAGATAAAGAAGATAATCTGCCATCTGATGTTGGAGTTTTAAGGGTGGGGTGGAATGCCTCCCAAACCAGGTGATGTTGCCCAGTTTGGCTTCTTTCCATTATTGCTGCTGTTGTTATTAATTTGTCAGATGCCTAACAGAGAGATCCTAGGTGATTTACAAACAGGTTTCACAGCATAGCTCGGAGAGCATGAGACTCTAAATCTCAGGGTTGTGGGTTTGAGCCCCACCTTGCGCGAAAGATTCCTGCATTGCAGCAGTTTGTATTAGATGATTCTTGTGGTCCCTTCTCACTCTACTATTCTTGTTGTTGTTGTTTAGTCGTTTAGTCGTGTCCGACTCTTCGTGACCCCATGGACCAGAGCACGCCAGGCACTCCTGTCTTCCACTGCCTCCCGCAGTTTGGTCAAACTCATGCTGGTAGCTTCAAGAACACTGTCCCACCATCTCGTCCTCTGTCTTCCCTTTCTCCTTGCACCCTCCATCTTTCCCATCATCAGGGTCTTTTTCAGGGAGTCTTCTCTTCTCATGAGGTGGCCAAAGTCTTGGAGCCTCATCTTCACAATCTGTCCTCCCAGTGAGCACTCAGGGCTGTTTTCCTTAAGAATGGATAGTTTTGATCTTCTTGCAGTCCATGGGACTCTCAAGAGTCTCCTCCAGCACCAGAATTCAAAAGCATCAATTCTTCGGCGATCAGCCTTCTTGATGGTCCAGCTCTCACTTCCATACATCACTACTGGGAAAACCATAGCTTTTACTATACGGACCTTTGTTGGCAAGGTCCAACTAATTCTAATTCCTATTCCTACTATTCTAATTCCTACTATTCTATGAACATACAAAATGGTTAAAATCAACAGCCATCAAAATTTAAATATATAAAACGTAACACACCATCTAGAGGGGAAGAAATAAACCGAAAGAATTTCTCAGAAACCCAGCATGACACTAACATAAAGCCTTGAAGCAAATGATCCAGATGTTCCAGCAGGGAGTGCCAGTCTGGTGAACTCCAGATGTTATTGGACTCCAAGCATCCTCAGGCCCAGCCAGGATAGCCAATGGACAGGGATGCTGTGGTCCAACAACTTATGGAGGTACCACCTTGGTTACCCCTGAAGTGTAGGTGGGTTCCCACAAAGCAAGATGCAGCGATAACAGCAAGAACATTTAGTGAACTACATAACTGGGAAACAGAAGCAAAGCAACTGCTTATATCAGCCTTTCTCAACCTGTGGGTCCCCAGATGTTGTTGAACTACAACTCCCATCACCCCTAGCTAGAAAGGCCGGAGCTCAGGGATGATGGGAGTTGTAGTCCAACAACATGTGGGGACCCACAGGTTGAGAACTGCTGGCTTATATACATTTCTGAAAGCCTGGGCCACTCCCAACGTGATTGGCTGTCTAAACTTCCAAACTGCGAATCACGAGCCAGAGTTCAAGGGCCAATGGCAGAGGCCGAAATCCCGAAATGTTCTGTGATTGGACATAATCCTAGTCCAGACTCAAGCTCAGGCAAACACAGAACACGGAATACATAACACCCCCATCATCATCATCTACACCAAAATCTTCTTGAGAAGTTCTAATATCATAGGAGAGGACGACATCTTTCTTTCCTTCCTCCCTCATAAGAACATAAGAAGAGCCTGCTGGATCAGGCCAGATGCCAGTGAGAAAACTTCAAGCAGGATCTGAGCACACAGGAAGTCTTCTTTCCTGTGGCTTTCAGCTTCTGAAGTAATTTGCAAGTTTGCAAACCGCTCCTGTGCCATTCCTGATGCACCTCCAGGGTACAAAGGAACTCACTTGTCCCACAGATCTGGAAACATTTGTTTATTTTTGCTGATCTCACGTTTCACAACTTGTAGGCTTACCCGGAGGCAGCAACCTGGTCACAGTTCAGCGCTGGGTCTCTGGGGCTCAGCTGCTCTCACATCTGTGCTGCTTTTTGTATGCGCAGCTCCAGTGAGGTCACACGGTCAAATGTGGACCGATACGAAAGGAGAAGTCCAGAGGCGGAAGGGGCTGCGTGTTTGCTTGGCTGAATCCTTTGATCTAGGGTCAAATTTTCTTAATCGGCAACTTGTGAATGTGACCACCATCAAGTATTGTTGTGTATTTTACAAATCCAAGGATGTCCCTGCTTAGAAAGCAGTCTGCCCTAGGATCATTTGATGGCAATGCCAAGATGTCAGTTCTTGGCTCTGACATTTTCTAGAATATTGTTGTTGTTGTTTGATTTGATTTTTTGTATTTCTATGCTCCCATTGATTCAAATTAATCTCAAAGCAGCTTTGAAAAAAGGTAAAGGACCCCTGACAGTTAAGTCCAGTCGCAGACGGCTCTGGGGTTGTAGTGCTCATCTCACTTTGCAGGCTGAGGGAGCCGACATTTGTCCACAGACAGATTTTTCCGGGTCATATGGCCAGCATGACTAAGCCGCTTCTGACACAACAGAACACCGAAACCAGAGCAGCACATGGAAACGCCATTTACCTTCCCACCAGAGTGGTACCTATTTATCTACTTGCACTTTTTGGCGTGCTTTTGAACTGCTAGGTTGGCAGGAGCAGGGACCGAGCAATGGGAGCTCACCCCATCATGGGGATTCAAACCGCTGACCTTCTGATCGATAAGCCCAAGAGGCTCAGTGGTTTAGACCACAGTGCCACGCGTGTCCCTCAAAGCAGCTTACAACCAATAAATAACTATAACATAATAAAACATAATAGCACATCGCAGATACATCATCCATCATATAAACTAATGAACAAATGACCAATGAAACAGTTTCAATCTATAAAAAACTTAACAAAACAGCAACTAAAAAAAAGGGGGGCTAAACCTCACAATTATGTCGTCAAACTTACCAGCAGAGAGCAACCTAGTCAGCTGATCAGTGGCGGAAGAAGCCTCTCAGGCACCTGGGGTGGCATGCCCAGGGGCGAGACGAACTGCCCATAGGGGCGTGGCGCTGTGCCCATAGGGGCAGAACGGGGCTCTCGCCGTCCCGTGCTGTCTGTATGGGCACCGCGGCATGCCCGATGCCATTCCCTAGGGACGAGATGGGGCGCACAGCACCCATAAGGGTGGGGCCTCAGCTACCCTACAGCTGAGGAGGAGGCAGGAGGCAGACAGCGCGGAGCCTGCGGGCGCTGGGATGCATAGCTCATGCGTGCTGCAGGCCCCGCTGTGACAAGTGCCGCCTGCCATTTTGCGACCCCCCATCAGGGTGACACCCAGGGCGAACCGCACCCCCTTCATACGCCCCTGCAGCTGATAGCAGTTAGCTCCTATCTCTGTTTCCCAATCCTTTCCTGCCCTATATGGCAAAGTGCTGATTGTATGCTCCTCGGAGCAGGGACCTCTCCTTTTGTGTTTTATCCAGCATCATGTACAATGAAGGCACAATCCTGCAAACCACATCTTTCTGCCCCTTGTCATTGTAGCAAAATATTGCTTTATTATTATTTGACCATCTTTGGTCAGTCAATCTAGTCCATGGTGGTGGTAGTGGGGGGGTGAGATATGGGGAATGTGTGTGTATTATTCGCTGTTTGCACCCGGGCCAGTCCCTGGCATCTCCTTCCAGCCTGCTGTTGCCAAACATCAATGAAGCTGCAGCTTGTTTTGCTTCTCTGCGTTTTCTCCAACCAAATAATACTTTTTTTGACACAGATGCCAGCCGTGGATTTTTGTGTGTGAAATAATCCTCTCTTCCTATTTACTCCGCTTGCCGCTGAGCCTGCAAATTCAAACTAAATCTGTCCCTTTGTTTTTGCTAGCTCTTTAAGTCTTAATTTACTTCCTTTTCTTTTTTTTCCTGCTCCCGCTGCAAAAATATACGTCCCTGCCGTCTGTTCTGTTTCCCCCTTTCCACACATGTCACTGCTAAGCAGTTCAGCAAAATCAAGTCCCTGATTTCTTCTCCATGTTGCTTCATCCTTAAATCCACTTGTGCTTTTTCCGCTAGGGATAGACTGTCCAAAAAAGAGTTGGTCAATCTTCTGGTCATGCAACCAGCATGATGACAGACGAGGGCAAATATAGATATATAGAGAGATTAGATTTCTTGCCCACCCTTTACCATAAGGTCCCAACTCACGTTACAATAACATAATGTCTTATATTAAGAAAGGTAAAAGCATGGCAGTTAGAAAACACACAAAACCATTCCAAATCGGAAACAGAATAGTGTAAATTCAACAAATGAGGTGTGTCCCTCAAAGCAAAATACCTTAACTATCAAAGAGGCACATCACCTGCATGAGCCACTCGGTTCTCCACATCCCTGCATTGCTTCGCAATTTTTTTAAATTAAAAAAATCCTCACAAAAATTTGCCAACGTTTTAGAACCCATTTCTCTTAACATAGCATGCTTGTATGCAATTTTGCCTGCCAAACACATGGTTTTTTTGCAAGCCACCCACCTGTCAATCACCTTACATCGGTGACATCAGGTGACCTGTTTTGGCTCAGGGAGTTCGAAATCAAACCACATCTCTCTCTTTTTAATCTGTCTATTTCTTCTCTCTCTCGTTCTATATTTCTTGTTCTATATGTCCTACTTTTCCTTTTCTCTCTTTTCCCTCTATGTTCTTATCGTATTTAGATCAGTGTTTTTGTTTTGGACAAAAAGAAAAGAAATGTGATGTTTCTATTTATGTGTATTTCTATCTATAAATCCAAATAAAATTTATTTTTTTTAGAAAAGAAAGAAATGAAACCACATGTCATAGGCAAAGAAGGGTGTGCTGTGCTACCCACCCTATAAGTCACTGACAACTCCTTGAACTGCCCCTCTGATCCTAAACCTCAGCTACCTTGTGGCTATACTCTTTCATGAGAAAAAGGCTTCGAGAATAAACCTTGAGGAAAAATCCATACCTGGTGCCTTGAGGGGCATATTCGGGAGATAGATAGATAAAACTTTATTCGCATTAGCCAAAGGACATAGCAACAGTAAAACATTACAGTATATGCAGTATTCAGGAGAAGAAAAGCCTAAGGAATAAACCCTACACAAATCCAGAGTGAATTCCCTAAGACATTGGATAGCCTCATTCCGGAAACTCCTGTGGCCAAGCAGGTGCCAAATGTCTGTCTCTGCTTTTCTCTGGACCCCATCAGCGAAGCCAAGAGTCTTGTCTTGTCGTCTGGGCAGCCCAGGACTTCCACACATATTGCCCAGGCTTGCACCCAGAGAGGTAATTGTACAGTCTGAGATCATCCTTG